TTATCTAAATATGTTATAAATAAATTATTATAAGATAAAAAGATACAATAAAATAAGATAATTATTCCTACTCTTGAATAAAGAATAGCTGTATCACGTCTAAATGACAAAGCATTAGATAATAATAAACAGAATATTGAAGATAAAAGCATATTCAATAAAAAGATAAATTTAAATTAAACAAACAAATAATATTATAGTAATATTATTTATTATATGATAAGTTTTTATTTAATAATACAAATAATGCAAATATTACTAATATTAATAAATTATTATCACTATATGAGAAGTATAACAATGTTATATAGAATATTAATCCTATTAAGATATATAATGCATAAGTAGTTATAGTTCCAGTACTTAATTTTCCTAAGTTATTACTTAAAGATAATAATCCTTTTTCTAAACCATATGGACCTAATAACTCTACAGAACCTTTATCAAGACTCTGAGTTGTTTGACCACCTAATTTTAGTACTCCTTCAACTATATATTTATTATAAAATAATTCTATATAGAATCTTTGGTTAAAGAAACTAAATATGTTATAACCTAATTTTGAGTATTTAAAGTTTATAAGTAATTTTGGTAAGAATTCAGATAATAATACTGATATTATACTTAATGATACTGTAAATACAAAAGGTAATAATTTAAAGAATGTAGGTACTGCGAATTCAGTATCTAACATAATTTCATGATTAGGGTGAATAAATAAACTATTATCTACAAAGAAACCTGTACCTAAACCTATAAAGATATCTTTAGTAATATAACCAAAGAATATAGAGAAAATAGATAAAACTATTAATGGTATAGTTAAGAATAAATCACCCTCATGCGCATGTTTGTAACTAGATAATGGACCATTAGGATTAGCTAAGAATGTTAAATATAATACTTTAGCTGAATATAATGTAGTAAACATTGCACCTATAGTAGCCACAAAGTAAACTATAGTACCTGATAGATAGAATTGACCATAAGAAGATTCAAGGATAAAATCTTTAGAATAGAATCCTGTCATGAAAGGTACAGCTACTAAACTTAATGAAGCTATTAACATAACTGAATATGTTAATGGTAAGAATTCTCTTAAACCACCATATTTTCTAAAATCTTGATTATCAGCTACTGCGTGTATTACTGAACCAGCTCCTAAGAATAATAATGCTTTATAGAAAGCGTGATTTACTAAGTGGAATAATGCTAAATTATAACTAGATAAACCTATAGCTATTACCATCATACCTAATTGACTCATAGTAGAATAAGCAATAACTTTTTTAATATCTTGTTGGAATAATCCTATTAAAGAACTAAATACTGTTGTTATAGCACCTAATCATAAACATAATACTAACACAGTTGAACTATATTCTATTAATGGAGATGATCTCATTAATAAATAAACTCCAGCTGTAACCATAGTAGCTGCGTGTATTAAAGCAGATACTGGTGTAGGACCTTCCATGGCTTGAGGTAATCAAATATGTAAACCTACTTGTGAACTTTTAGCTGTAGCACCTATTAATAGACAGATACCTATTAAAGTTATAATATTTTCATTATAATAAGGAGCTAATGCAAATACTGTACTATAATCTATATTACCAAAAGATCATAAAATAGCAAACATACCTACAGTTAATAAACAATCACCCACTCTATTTGTTAATAAAGCTGATATAGAGCTTTGGTTTGCAGCTATTCTAGTAAATCAGAAATTTACTAATAAATATGAACAAACACCTACACCTTCTCAACCTACAAACATTATTAAATAGTTATTACCTGTAACAAGTATAATCATCATAAATGTGAATAAACTTAAATAACTAAAGAATCTTTGGTTGTGTGGATCATGACTCATATAACTTATTGAGTATATATGTACTAAACTAGATACTATTAATACTGGTATTAACATAGAAACTGTTAATGAATCAAATCTAAAGTTTCATAAAACATAAAGTGATTCTACATCTACTCACCTTGCAACATTTATTGTTACAGGTATGTTATTAAATCCTACTTCAAAAAAAGCTATAATAGCTAAAATTGTTGTAGTAATTACTGAAGCACATGTTATTATATGTGCTCCACTTATTCCAACTTTTCTTCCAAAAAAACCTGAAACGATTGAACCTAATAAAGGTAAAATTATCAATGTTAAATACATTATTTATACTGTATTGATATACTACCTCTTAATCTATAATATGCAACTAAAATACCTAAACCTATCGCAGATTCAGCACCCGCTATTGTTAAAATATAAACGGAAAATGTTTGTCCAAGAATATCATCAAAACTAAGTGAACTTATTAATATTAAAAATGTTACTGATAATAACATAATTTCTATTGATATTAACATTAGTATAATGTTTTTTCTATTAAGAACAAACCCTAATATCCCTATTAAAAACAAAAATATTGAAAATGTCATTAATTTAATAAAATTTAATTTGATTTATCTATCCTACAGAAATAAGTTACTTTTTATTAATAAAAAAAACTTACTCTTACCATATCACTAATAAAATATTTTATTAATTTTTTAGTTATTAATGGATTTACCATACATTACCACATAAATTACATTTATAAGATAAAATACTAGATACTAGTAAATCTTATTTATATACTTAGTTTAATATAAACGTGTATAAGACTTGAACTTATATATACGTGTCCGTAGCACGCTATTCTACCATTAAATTAACACGTTAATTTAACTAATAAAATAATAATACATATTATATATTAGTTAAATAAAAAAAATTTTTTTTTATTTATCCTTCCATTTGATCTCTTAATCATAATAAGAAATCTCTTATTGAAACAGATTGTATAGCAATAGGCATAGAACTGTGAAGTATACCACAAATTTCTGAACATTGTCCAAAGAATGTTCCCGGACGATTTACATAAACAGAAGCTTGATTTAATCTACCTGGATATGCATCAGCTTTAATACCTAATGAAGGGCAAGCATAAGAATGTATAACATCAGCAGCTGATATTACAAATCTTGTATGTGTTAACTCAGGTATTATAACTCTATTATCTACTTCTAACATTCTAAATTGACCTTCTTCTAAATCACTTTCTGGTACTATATATGAATCAAATTCTATAAACTCATCATCTTCATTAGTGAAATCTGGATATTGGTAACTTCAATATCATTGGTGACCTTCAGCATAAACAACTAATGATGGATCCATTACTTCATCCATTAAATATAATAATTTAAAAGATGGGAATGCTATTAATATTAATATAAATGCAGGTGTAATAGTTCAAATTAACTCTATTAAAGTACCGTGATTCATATATTTATGTGCTATAGGTGATCTTTTAGCTGCAAAATTTCTTACAATATTT